AATTGCATGTAATTTCCTAGGTAATAATGTAGATATTACCATGGTATCTGTATGAATTGGAATAATAACCCAACTAAAGTTTGATTGAGATTAATTGGAATGCACAATGAAAAAACATGATTTCAGAGAATTGTTAAAAATTGAGTTATCTGTTTTTGAAAATAAATTCTTCATATGTATTGAAATATAATTAATATACAAAGTGCAGTGCTACATAGGCCTAGGTCAAAGAGGGATAAAATTAAAAAAACTTGTCGATGAGCATAAAAAGCTTCAGATTTACAGTGTAATGTCTATTTATTCAAATAATGTTTTACTATGGCATGCGTTAAATACATATTACATGCAATAAAGGTAATAAAAAACAACAATGCCATTCATTTGTAAAGTGTCACAGGGATGTAACAGGGCCTGACGGTCGGCCATTTTAATCTGCCATTACTCAGCCTGCTAGCATGCTAGCATAAAAACTGTTAACATGCAATCAAGGAATTTCAGTAACTTTTTTAGACATGTTTTGGATTTAAAAAAAAATTCATTATTTTCTGGGATGTTTTACCGTGACAGGGCCTGACCCTTTAGCTCGTCCTCCTCAAAAGAATCATACAAAAACAAGCTTAAAATCATACAATTCAATGTCAGAACTCACGCTTGATCAGCGTCAGCGTCACCTCAGTCAGATGATGTCACTTCCTGTGAGTCATACCTTTAAAGGCGCATTACACACATTTTATGTTGAGTTTTATGTAAACGTGACAGGACTGACCGAAAACATGGGGACAGTTGTAAAATAGCTTAAACTGACCGAGGTCTTTCTCTTCGGCTCCTGACAGATGCCTCTGGAATCATTCCGGCGTCCTGGACCCACCAGGATTCCCAAACCCAAAGCATCGAACAGCTCTGTCCAAACCCCACTGAACTCTGGGAAACGTGTGTCTAACAACCTGAAGCTGATGAACCAGCCTACCAAATCATGAGTGAAGCGTCCACAGCAGTCTGACCCAGAGGAGAGACTTTCATGCTTATTGTGTTTCATTTCGATCACTTCAGGTGCTGTAACGAGACTCTATAGACTATATTGAAAAGTACAAAAACCCACCCTGACTCATCTTTCGCTCTATGGTGCTCTTTCTTTTTTCTTTTGACAAAATCTATGTATGCACTCATTAAATAGGTAGTAATCTCTGTTATGGTTTGATTCAATGTGTAGAGCAACGATGCACTGACTTGTCATATGAGGTATTTTTGATGTATGAGATCTGGATGTTAATAAAAGATTTTTTATATCTTGCACGTCAGATTAAAACACCAATATTGATCATCATTGCATTAAGTTATTGTTTAGCACAGAGAGGTAGAGTTTAACTGAAATTAAACTGAAATGAAAGCCTTAAACTCACCGTTTAGTCGATCCAGAGCTTCTACGGCACAGCACTGACGTCCAACCAATCAGAAGTACTCCTCACTGCAGTGAACCAATCAGAGCGCAGGGAATAGAAGCCCCGCCCGCGCGGTAAAATCTGTGGGCGGGGTCTGGCGGATGAACGAGTGCAGAGCGCGCACTCTCGGCGCCAAACAGAAAGTTTGCTCTGCTCTTCATCAGCGTTTATTAGTTAATTTAATTAATGTTCCTTACTTTTTTTGTTTCTTTAGTTTTCATCAGTATTTTAATCCGCGCTACTGAAGGTTATTTAAGTCTTACACTGAAAATTAGAGGCATTAAAGCGAGATTCGTGGAGGAAGAGAAGAAAGAGTTTAAGATGGCAGATGATTCTGATCAGAGATCAGTGTTGATGGAGATCTCAGAACCACAGGCCAAAATCACAGGTGAGGACATCTTCATCATCTTCATCATCGTCATCTTAAATCATAATTCAGACTCAAAAACCCAGAAGAAATGTGATCAGAGCAGTGCTGGAAACGTTACTTTGGAAATGTAATCGGTTACAGATTACAAGTTACTGTATCTAAAATGTAATAAGTAGTGTAACTATTCAATTACTTTATTAAAGTAATGTAACTGATTACTTTTGGATTACTTTTATAATTTTCTAATGTTTTCAACTGTTTATCATTTTCAAGCATGTAAAGCAGGCAGGGTTTAATATTACAGTAGTATTTAACACCGATTACTGTCAGAATCCTTCATCACTTGAATTAAGATTATAATAATTTACTTTTAAAGCACAGTCACCACAAAATCAGACTTACTTTGAGATCATTCTGAGGTTAAATACGGATTTAAAACCATCACAAGAAATAGTTTAATAGCTACGATACTGTTTTTGAAATCAATTCTTTGCATAGTTATGACAGTAAACTCTGGCATCTAACAATGTCTTTGAGAAAACTGTTAATCTTAAAAAATAAAGCATTTACACAAACCCAAACAGGAAATAAAACAGTGTGTCCTAAACTCCTGAAACGTTGCTGTCTCATATTTTAGAGAAGTCACTGCAATTTATGAAAGAAATTAATTAAATTTATATGTGGATGTGTGTGAAAATTCAGAAGTAACCCCCTTTGTGATCGTTAATATTTTCATAAGTAACTGTCATTTAATTACACGTTTTTTGATGATTACAGTTACATTTATTTTGTAACTAAATTACACAATTCTGTTACATGTAACTAGTTACTCCCCAACAGCTGTTTGATCTCAGTGCTGAAATTATTACACACTTTTGATAATATTTTTCATATTGTGATGTTTGATAGTTTGTTTATAGTCATGGAAGTGAATACAATCTTATAAGTTAATTGTGGAGTCAATATAATAGTCACATTTATTTCCATAGTGCTTTATACAATACAGATCGTTTCAAAGATTCAATGATGCAAACTTTATCCAAATTGAGACAAATTCTGCTGGAAACAGCTCATTATTCGGCTCCGTTCAGTGTATTGATTCAATAAGGTCAAAAACAGTTTGAGCGACTCTTTCTGAGTCTGATCTCCATGAAATGATTTTTAACAATTCACAAACAACAACCACAAACAGAGAAAACTCTCACAGCTTCTGCTTGCAGTCATAAAATGATGATGATGGTCTTTCATGATGAATTCATGGAATGTCTGATTGATTCAAGCCATTTAACCTCATTATTTCACCACTTTCCTTCTTCTAAAGCTTTTAAATCACGTGCAGAATGCTTCATAAGTCAGCTTTATTCCTCACAGGACGTCTGAGGAGATCCTACATGGATATCTTGTGTTCCCGTCTGTCCGTCGGTGCGAGACACGTGAGACGTGGACACGCGTGTGAGTAACCGTACGATCCGTGTGCTTGCGTGTCTGTAGCTGTGTTTCCATCCACCTGTTTTTATGCGCATTTTGGAATATTGCATAAAGAAACCACTGGATGGAAACGGTGCTTATTCGCAAATGCTTTATGCGATATT